TTTTTTTTTTTTTTTTTTTATTTATTAACCTTCCCCCCCCCCATCCCCCCCCAAGGGGGGGGGCAGCTTACAACATATTAAAACAATAAATAAATATACAGTTAAAATTTATAAGATGACACATTTACAAAGAATACAGGGAAAAGGAAAGATCCAGGAGGCCGATGGAAGCAACACCAGGCCTCTAGGGGGCTAGCCAACCCCACATCTGATGACCTCCCTCCCCACACCAGGCCAGATGGCAGAGCCAGGTCTTCAAGTCCCTCCGAAAGGCCGAGTGAGGGGGCCTGTCTCACCTCCGAGGGCAAGATGTTCCAAAGGGCAGGGGCTACCGCAGAGAAGGCCCGCCTTCTGGACCCCGCTAGTCGGAGTTCTTTTGCCGAAGGGGTCCGGAGCATGCCCTCTCTATGTGATCGGGTGGGACAGGTTGAAATCGTGGGGGAGAGGCGGTCCCTCAGGTAACAGTAAATATAATTCTTATGGTTAGAAATTAATCCTATAAATTTTTACAATTCTGCATTACTCATCCTTATAACACTGATATTAACATGTTATTCTATACCTTAAATTCTTATTCCTGGGTTGGTTGTAATTCTAGATGTTTTATACTGGTTTACAACCAAAACAAAGATCGACTGATTCACTGTCCTAGAGAAGCCTGTATGTTTAAACCCTTTTAAAGACCGGTCTGCATAAAGTTATCCACCAACACAGGAGCACAGTAGGTTTAGCTGCTATTCGCTCGCTCTAAAACTATGAAGCTTGGGATTGCGCTGATGCCTAACCTAACTCCGCATGTTCTTTCTTCCCTTCTGGGTCCGAATGAGAGCAATCATTATCAGTCCTGGAAAAAAAAAAGCAAGAACCTCAACGTCAGGCCTCTAGAGATAATCTTCCAATTTCTCGTCCGATATGGAAGAACCAGGCGGGAGAAGACATGCTCGATCCTTAACTCCCCCCCTCGCTTCCCCGACATTGAGAAAGGTAAAAGGTACCTTGCCAGTGATCCCGTCGATGGGACCGTGGGACCCAGGGCCTCGCGGCTGACCAGGCGATTCCATAGGTCGGTCTATGGGGCAGAGACACCGGGGGGGGAAACACCTGGCGCTCCTACGCAGGGGGTCCCAGGTAACAGGGCAAAAAGCCCAGCGACCGGAACTCCGGCTCAGAAACCGGAAGGGCACTAGGTAGGACGCACGCCGGGCAAATTGTAGTTTCCATAGAAAAACGGCGGCTAGATGGACCCCGGAAACAGTGCGAAGGGGGCGAGGAAAGGAGCCGCAAAATCTCACCATAGAGGTAAAGCTTATGGAGCCAATGAAGGCGCATAGGTTATTCCGGTTCTCATGATACTTCTGCAGGCAAGGGGCGAGAGTGGGCGATGATGCAGGGATCCACGTTTAAACGTTTAGTAAAAAAGCTTTCAGGGCAATGCTTTCAATTAATTGCACACTCGACTCCAAATGGTTGCTTTGGAGTTGCATGACAATCCTTTAGTAGTTACTGAAACAGAAATACGGATTTGTGGCGTGGGGGGTGTTTGTTTTGCCCAAACAGGCTCTACTGAGGCTGACATGCGTGGGCAAGAAAAGGTCAGTCAGCAAAGAAATTTGAAACTAGCATTCAGGGTAGGATTTTAATAATAGCTTAAATAAGAATTACAAGGGGTGTTTGGGAAACTTCGTGTATTTGCTTCATTTGAAAGTTTTAAAAAATACAGCTAGTTCATACTAATCCACCACTAACAGTTTAAAACAACTTTTTTCTCCATAGGATTACATCAGTATTTCTCAACCTTGGCAACTTTAAGATGAGTGGACTTCAACTCTCAGAATTCCCCAGCCAGCATGCTGGCTGGGGAATTCTGGCAGCTGAAGCTCATTCATGCTGGCTAGGGAATTCTGGGAGTTGAAATCCATGCATTTTAAAGTTGCCAAGGTTGAGAAACACTGGATTACATGGTATTTTCAGACAAGCATAAAAGAAAGGTTCTATATGGACAGTGAAAAAAACTAGTAAAAAAAAAGTATGGGGGAAGCATGTTTGTTGATTATCCAAATTTATATCCCGTCTTTCAGTGTAAAACATTTTTCCTTGGATCACCTTAAAGGCCTGTTATATTGAGTTTAAAACTGAGTCCTGTTACCTATGATTTTAGCTGAGCATTCCTTTGAAAAACAATAGATTTAGCACAGGTTTAAATCTACCCTTGGCTTCCTAGTTGAGCTGGGGAACTTGCAATCTCTTATCCCACCCCACCCTACAGGGTTGTTTGATAATGGGGAAAAATTGAGGGAGTGCTGTGTACGTTGCCTTGGGTTCCAGAAGGAAAGGCTATCCATGTAACTAATAAGTACATTTTAAAAAGCAAGCATACAACTGATGTAGTTCCTAGTACTGTATACAGGGTTTTATGTGGAAAAATCATAGCATGGTTAGAGGTGGTGCCATTTTCTTCAC